TGATTAAAATGAAGTATTCATTGTTGGCCGTTTCTTTTTTAAAATTATTTAAAACCAAATTAAAATTCCCCTTAGGCCAGTCCGGCTAGCTTAAATAGCCATGTCTTGAGGGCGCGGCGGAAGGAGGGGAGATCCGGAATCACCCGGATCTCTGGGGGTAGTTCGTTCCAAAGGGTGGGGGCTCCAACAGAGAAGGCCCAAAGGTTGTTAAATTAGTAGCACGGCCGTTAAGAGAATCTGGTTTCCCCGTTGACGTTGCTTGTCAGAAGGGAATCACATGACCCCGGGACACTGCGACCGTCATACATGTGAGCCAGTTGCCGAGGGTCTGAATGTAAATCACGTGACCCTGGGGATGTTACAACGGCCGTAAGTGTGAAAAACGGTCATAAGCCACTTTTTTCAGGACTGCTGTAACTTCAACCTGTCACTAAACGAACTGCTGTAAGCCGAGGACTATCTGTAAGGGAAACTGATACAAATGCAGAAGGCAACAGGCTGGCCCAGAAAATGAGGACACTGAGGCCACAGTCTCATTAACTGTCCCAGCTACAAGCTCGAGGCCAGGGCTGACCCTCCTCCCTCAGAAGCCCCAAGGTTAAGCTGTACGGTACTTTTTCCTCTTCAATCTTCTGTTTTCGCTTCTGCTCCACCGCAGCTCTTCTCTGTTGCTCTTTCAGCTTCTGCTCTCTCAGCCGCTTCTGCTTCTCTTCCATTTGCTTCTCGTACTGCAGCTTCGCTTTCTTCTCCTTCTCCAGGATCTGTGTTTCTTTGGCAGCTGCAAATTCCACCAAACAGTACAGAAAAGTGAAACGCTACGGAACCCGGAAAAGGGGAGGGGGAGGAGGGAGACATGTTTTGCTGGCAATTGCAAAAATCCCAGTTTTATAGAATCCGAGAGAGAAAGAGAGACGGAGAGAACGAGAGTATCACATCATCAAATTTTGTATGTTCAACCAACTCCATCTGGAGCAAAAACCTTGCCAGAATCCACCTTATCTGCTTGAGGTCAAGGAAAAAAACCGAGAAAAGAGGAAGAATCAAGCGCCTCATTTTACGCCAATGGTGCACTTTTACTACAACCCAAAACCTCGCATCCTGACAAATGCCTCTCGTGCAGAACAATAGGAAGGAACCGGGTTTTTCTGCATGGGATGGAGTCATGCAAAACCGAAGAAGCGGGAACTCAAAACTGTCTGGATCTACTCTCACCAACCCATCTTCCTTGAAGGAAGGTGATAAAACCCCTGAACGGAATATTCTGGCCTCTGGGTTCCAAGCTTTTGTTAACCTTCCATAAACCTGTAAGTATCACAGAGGCTGGCTGGTGTGCTTGGTCTATAGACAAAGAATTAACTACCGTGGCCTGCCACGGTCTTAAGTGAGAAAAACAGTCATAAGTGACTTTTTTCAGTGCCGTTGTGACTTTGAACGGTCACTAAACGCACTGCACGCAGAAACTTGACTGACTAGGATCCTACCATGCTGTTTCTCCCGCTCTTCCCTACGTTCCCGAGCAAGTCTCTGCCGTTCTTCTGATTTCAAGAGAGAACCATCCAGCACTGTCAAAGAGAAAAAAATCAAAGGCTTTGAACATTTGATTTGGAGAAACAAGGGACCAATTCCTACAAAACACACACACACACATCTAACATCCGCACACAAGGACAGCACATTCATGTTCAAGATACTCATACTGGTGCTCAACACGAATGGCTGTGCCAACGTACTTTCTAACTCACTGCAGGAAATCTTAACTCGGTTATTTTCTTGCATTACCCATCGCTATTGAAAGGGCACCTGCACCAGTGTAGCTATTTCCCGGGTTACAAGGGGAGGCTTTTGCAGGCCTGGCACTACAGACTTTCATTCATCTAATTTCTGATTTTTTTTGAAAATAAGAACGGCATATAAAAGTTTTGAGCAAATACGAACTGCAGGCAAAGAACTGCTCCCAAGATCAAAATACAGAACAGTCATACAAACAATACCGATTTTTACCTGGTTTTGCTTTTGTGCTTATTGGGGCCTGGAGTGAAACAGTGCTAACACCACCTTGGTTTCTTCTTTCTTCGGCTAATGCTTGAGCTGCAGCAACTGTTAAGAAAAATACCACGCTTGGCTGAAACAAATCCACAATTCACACAATCTTTGTCGTTTGGATTACACTACTCAAATCTGATTTTTGCACAGGAAACTCTCCCCAAATCCAGAGTTTATGGCTGGCTCAGGAATTTTGGGAGTTGAAGTCCACGAGTCATAAAAGAGCCGAGGTTGCCTACCCCTGGTCATGACCAAAAACTTAAGACAACCATATAGCATCCTGGTTCCTTTTAAACAGTAGCTCTGGAATCACTGAATGTATCACAATATCTATTTACTACATATGTACACCCACCTATCCTTTTTCTGTTTCTGTGTCAGCAGGAAGAAAAGCCAATAGTTCTTTTGGGGAATTTGCCACAAATTCTGCATTTGTGTTGTATTATGTACAGAAATATTCAGGACTAAAAGCCTTGTGTGGGCAATTGTGCAGTAGACCACACTCAAAAAAATCCCCCTATGCAATTATGAAGAGCAATGAACTGAGTTCAAGTTCCATCTGTTTTTAGGTTCCTATTTGAAATCAAGCATTCCAACTTCGCTCCCAGAATATAGTCTAAACTTGAAACAGCTGTATAACACTGGAAAATTAAACTACACGTTTCAATCAATTAAGAGAGGTGGTAGTAATGGACGAGGGAGATATGCAAGCAGAGTGGAAAAACACTGTTTGAAATTTTGAGGATCCAGCAACATGGAGCAGATAATCACAGACAGACTGATTGCTGTTTCTCCTAGATTTTCACATTTGCCAAGTAATTTGAGAGTTTAAGTCAAGGCAACTTCAAGATTTGTGGACTTGCAACTTCCAGAATTCCCCAGCCAGCATGGCTGGCTGGAGAATTCTTGGAGTTAAAGTCCACAGGTCTTAAAGTTGCCAAGGCTGGACAGCACTGTTTTAAGTGAATTCCCTTTCCAGATTTGCCTTTGTTCAGAGGAGGAAATTCATTAAACTTCTGTTAAAACAAAGAGAGGGGAAGTAGAACAGCTAGCATTTTCATACCAAGTTCCTTTGTGGAGGCACAACAGAGCGAAAAATATTCAAAGGTAACTCCGGAGACCTGCTAAGACAATACTGCTTGTTTGAAGAGACCAAAATAAGCCAAACCAAAATAAATCTTGTTCACAAAACTTCCTTAAAAGTCTGCAAAGTGATTGCATTATTGTAATTCACAATACTGGACACAGAGATCTATTAATGTGAGCTAAACAAAAGGTTTGCAATGCAAATCCGATAAAAGAGTCTTGTGAAGTGCACTATATCCACTCACGGTCATTCAGCTTTCGTGTATTTGATGCAAAATTGTACAACGCACCCGTATTAAAATGTCAAGTCTCAACTCTCTGAACTTAACCAAGATCACACACAACATGACCTTAGTTTTAATTCACAACATTAACTGCAAAGACTTGCTGGAACCTCATTCTTAATCAGGTATGCAACCACTGCGTGGAGGCAGTCGATTAATGTGCAGTGCTGCAATGGATCAACCCCCAGTTATTGCCTCCATCCAATGACATACAGCTGTGAATGCATTCTCAATTTTTGCCAGGTAAGACACGTTCAATTATCTTTGGAGATCTGTGGCACCACGGCGCAGGTGCTGGATTAGAACCAGGGTGATCTAGATCTGCGTTCACTTCTACCCACAAAAACTCACTGGGTGATTTGGGGCCAGCCACTTTCAACACTTCCCCACCCCCACCCCTAGTCACAATATTGTAGTAGGGGAAGGAACTGCTATATATACTACTTGGATCTCCTGAATGAAAGGGGGTATATAAACCTAATAAACAAATGTCCCCCAGCTAAACGTGCCCTCAAGTTACATCAAGAACAGAGCAACCAGGACATTTTCTGAAAACAAGGATTTTTTTTTATTTCTTGTGTGTTCCTGAGATGCAATATTTGCTTCCTGTTTTCACGTTCCTGGCTTCCTTTTCATAATTCTCTCACTTTGTTTTACTTCCCTGAGCTCAGGGTGTGGAAGTGGGCTCCCTTCCTCTCACCCCACCTATAGGAAAACCCACTGAAACCTTTTTCTAAGTGACGTTTGTTCTCGAGTTTCCAGGCACACCATTGCTGAATGTGCCTGGCTCCACTCACTAGCCCAACCCCCCAAACCCTGTGACAATAGAGCCCAGCACTGCCTCTCACAACGGACACCAGTCCACTCTGCAGCCACAACTCCATCTCTCCCGAGAGACTCAAGAATGCTTCTATTATGTGGGATGTATTTTAACCCATGATCCTCTTGTTTCTTGATAAGCCAGTTTCCCCTTATGTCTCTGATCAGGCATTATAACATTACAGCTCACAAGGCCCTGTGACTGCGGTTTAATTTTTTGTGCTGAGACATACTTATAGACCCATTAGACCCGGGTGAGTCTCCCGTTTGACCAGGCAGGGGATCCAGTTGAACATTTATTCACAATTTAACAGGGGCTATTTATTAAAGGAAGATAAAATAATTGTTCTTGGTTAGCTGCATTGTACAACATACAATTACCGCTCCTTACGTTTGTAAACCATTTTCTAGAATCTTTTGCAGTTTACTTGCAATCTGTGGCTTGCAGAATTAATAAATCTCAGCAATGGAATAAACATTGCATCTGCTTCAATTCCATCCTACAGGAATAAGCAGGAACCCGTATGAGAATCAAAAGGCTCTACCATACATTACTTCACTAACTCACTCTATGACTATTAATAAAATTAAAAGATCCCAGAATAACCAAGCCCGAACTTTTTCATCACGTGCAGTTTCGCTGAAGACTTCATGGAAATAATATCACTCCCCATTTCTCACAGGAGATGCAAAAAAAGAGAGTCCTTTTTCCAATTTGTTGTCCGTCGCCAAGCCTTTCCAGACTTGAAAGGGAAGGCTGGACTTGATTTAAATCTGAAGACAGGAATAAAACCACAATCAAGGCACAGCCATCTGCTCTTAAGACTGAGCTCCCTGTCTGGAAGATGGGAATAAACCTGACACCTTAATTCAATTAGGGCTAAGAGCAAGTCCAAAGCAGCAGCAGCCTTTTCCATCGCACAGTTACCAAGTACTACAGCCACATTAATAACCTGATCAGAAGGCATAACGGTAGCCTTAATGAAAAAGCCCCCTCCCAAGTTAGCATCCTTTCCCAGAGGTCAACTAGGTCAGGGGTAGGCACCCTTGGCTCTTTTATGACTTGTGGACTTCAATACCAGAAATCCTGAACCAGCCATGCTGACTCAAGAATTCTGGGAGTTGAAATCCACAAGTCATAAAAAAGCCAAGGTTGCCTATCCCTGACCTAGGTATTACAGGATGAGGCCCTCTCCTGCAGCCATTGGCCATTAAGTACAGTAGTCCTCGACTTACAACCACAGTTGAGCCCAAAATTTTGGTTGTTAAGTGAGACATGTGTTAAATGAATTTGTCCCAGTTTACGACCTTTCTTGCCACAGTTGTTAAGTGAATCACTGCAGGGATTAGTTAGTTACACAATTGCTAAGTGGATCCGGCTTCCCCATTGATTTTGCTTGCCAAAAGGGGATCACGTGACCTTGGGACGCTGCAATGGTCATAAGTAGGAACCAGTTGCCAAGCATCTGAATTTTGATCACGTGATCATGGGGATGCTACGAAGGTTTTAAGTGTGAAAAATGGTCACAAGCACTTTTTTCAGTGCTGTTGTAACTTTGAATGGTCTCTACATGAACAGCTGTAAGTCAAGGGCTACCTCCATTTGGGTGGAAGCATACAGGGCTGTGCACCACTGGATTTGAATGTGAAAAGATGCTTCAAAGTGTGAATACCTGCTTGCAGCTCTCTTAAGGCCTCGCCTTTCCTGGAAGTGCTCAACTCTTGTGATTGCTAAAGCCACATTTTTTAAAAAAGAACTACAGACAGGCGTGATGTTTATAACTCCATGTGTTCTGAAGCACCTTTTCTCCCCTTAGGTGCCAAGTATTGCACAACTCAAATCATCACAGTCTGGATGATGAGAAAGTACTGACAGACTTATTCTTTCGGGAGTTTCCTTTTGAAGACATCTAATTTGGCGATTCACACATCCTGGCCACAGCCAAAGGAAAGCTTCAAAAGATGGCTAGATATTTTCTGATCAAAATATGGCACTTGGGTGATTATGTCCTGTGGCTGAAGTTAGATGCCGCCTTGCAGGGTTAAAAACACTTGCAAACTAAGGTCAAGTCTGATCTTCCAGGAAATCAGTGCTGCAGCAAGAAAAGAAACATACAGCAACCGTCCCCTCCACATTAATTGATAAGCAAAGAGGAATTCTGCTTTAATCAGGCAGGAACTAAACTGTACCCCAATGCTGCAATTTCGAAACAAACCTGGAAAAGCAGAAATAATCCAGAAATCAGCCCAGGGAAGGTGGGGGGGAGAGGAGACCGTGCACATTGCTTATATATATATATTAGCTTTTCTGACTGCAGCAGAGAAAAAGAGTAGATGCAAAGAGATTTCCAGATGCTTTTTTTTAAAAAGCCAAGGATATTTGGGGGAGGGGGCGGAGTGGAATGAGTAAGCCGCAAGACCTCCAGATCTCCTCTGGATCTCATAAAATGCAACGGTTTCTTTTGTCCACAAAATAAAGAGAAGGCAACTGGGGGGACGGAGGGAGGCCAGGCGGAAGAGGAGGTCCTTCAGGCCAACAAAAAGGGAACCTCCAGCATTTTGCTTGGGGGGGGGAGATAAGAGAGCTCAGAAATGAGCTTGGGAAATAGGAAGGAGGGAGGGGATGGATGACTAATGGGTTGGGGGGGACTGGAACAGGACTAAAAGATGAAGGGGGGGGGAAGAGAGCCCTGAACTCGGGGTGAGGGACCAGAGGTTGCCTGGGATGATAAAGAGGGGGGGGAGGAAGGAGTATAATGAGGGGGAGTTTGCGGGGTGGAAAAGGTCTTTTGATGGAGAAAAAAGGAGTAAAAGGAGAAAATGGGTGGGATGAAAAAGGGAGGGGTCAAATTAAGGTACTTGGGGACTCCCCCCATCAGCCCTTCCTAAGCCAGCCTCCCAGGCGTGTCTTACTACAAGCCCCATCAGGCACTTCAGAGACCCATGCCCCCCCCCAATCCTATCCCAGAGAGACCCCCCCCAGGCCTTGTGGAGGCAGCTGCCCATTACCCCCCCCCAGGGCTCAATTACACCCCCCGCCCCCACGGAGGCTAACAGGATGATGGGACTTGTAGTCGGGCCGCTTGGACCCCCAGAAACACCCATGCCCTCACCACATCCCAGATAGACCCCCCCCGCAGGCCTTTGGGAGGCATCTGCCCACAGCCCCCGCCCCCCAAGCCGGGCTGAACTATACACCCCCCGCCCCCCTACGGGGGCTGATGGGTCCTGTAGTCAAGGCCGGGGCAGAGGAACCCAGACCGGTCCAGGGGGGCGGCTGAGGGGATGGGAAGGGGGGGAGGGGGAGGGGACGACCCCCCTCAATTAGGAAGGGGCCGCGGAGGGAGGGCAAGGAGAGTCTGAGGGGATAAAACGGGGGGTGGGGTGGGGGGTCTCCCCGCCCGGCTCACCCATCTGCTCCCGCAGCCCCTTCAGGGTCGGGGGAGGCGGGATGGGGACCCCGGGAGACGCCCCGCCGCCGCTCCCCTCCGCCATCTTCGCCCCCGAGCGGTCCGGGCGGCGGTCCGGAGCCTCCTTCGCTCGACTCGCCGGCAGATGCTCCGCCGCCGCCGCCTCAGCCTCAGGCCGGTGGCGCGGAACTGCCGAAGGGACGCGGGCACGGCGAGGGCGCAGGCGCGGCGCAGGCCACGCCCCGGAGCCCTTTGGCTGGGGGCGGCGGAGGAGAGCGCACGCGCTGACCCGCGGCTCGGGCGTTCGGGAAACTTCGCCTCCGGCCAGGCGGGCAACGATCCCTGAAGGGTAGGCGAGGCGGCAACGCGCGTGCGCGTAGCTGCTCGTTTAAGTTGGGCTTCCGTTGCTGCGGGTTCGATTCCCACTTTCTCCATGGGTGGTCCATCCTCGCGTGTCTTCAGTCTTCTTTAAGGATATTTCCTTGGGGAGGTTCCATCCATAGGATTACCATATCTGCTGAGACCCGTTTTCATCTTGATTTGTTAGCTAAGCCACTTGGCTGCATCTCTACAAATCGGCACCCAATGACAAATTACGGTTTATAAAACCCGATAGATGGATGCTTGCTTAGCCCTAAGCCACAATGGCTTCCTTTACTGGCTTTGCTTATCCAAGGCAGTGGAAAGGTTGCAAACAGGTGATCTCATGATCCTGGCACATTGCAACCATCCTAAATGCTTGCCGGTTGCCAAGTGCCCAAAAATTGATCATATGAACTTTGCAATGGTCATAAATGTGAGGACTGGTCATAAGTCCCTTTCTTCTCTGCTGTTGCAACTTTGGTCACTAAGTAAATTGAACTGAACTGGATGAGAAGCAAAATGTTTTCAAAGAAAAAAAACCTCCAGTTGCCTTTTGGAAAAAAATATCTTTGTGACAACCATGACCTGGAGGATTGAGAATCTCTATATAGTCATAAATAAATAGTAAGTTGAGGGCTATCTGCATGTATTATTTATTTAATAAACCCCACTTTTATTCCTTTATAAATAACTCCAAGTGGCAAACATACCTAATCCTTTCCCCTCCTTTCTGTTTTTCCCATCACAACAGTCCTGCGAGGGAGGTTGGGTTGAGAGAGAGACATTGGAACTGGCCCAAAGTAAATCAGCGTTAAAATTCTCATCCCCAGGAGGTCTGTCTCTTCTGGCTGCCGGGCATTTGGGCAGCTCCCTCTTTGGACTGGACGTGCTGCTGGAAGGAAGGACAGCCTCTCCGTGGTGTCGACCTTCTTATAAAAGACACATTCTTCGCCCCGGCTCCAGCTGAACCCAACGGAGGCTTTGTGGAGGCACGTCGCTCAGACTCCAAAGCTGGTTTTGTTCTCTGCCATAAAAGACGGGTCTGTGTCAACCAACTCTGCAGAATTTTGCTTCTTTCTTCCGATTCAGAGATTCGCCTCGGACTTTCAATGCACCAGAGAGACTCTTTTAAATTTATCATCGAGGCATCCCAGGCTTTGCAAACTTCCAATCTCATCTTCTTCAGGGCTGCCTGCCCTATTTTACACATTTTTTTTATTGCACCAGCCCAGCAGAGGAAATAAATGTTTGGCTCACACTGCTGGACCTTTAAAATGAAAAGGACAGTCCCAAACCTTTCTTTTCCCCAAAAGGGATCTGATATTTTTTTTTAACAAATTGTGTGTGCCTATTTACATCCCGAGAATCGAAAGAAACGATTTAGCTTGACCAGAGAGAACGGAAATGAATCATGTATTTGGCATCTCAAGGAAGCTGCCTTTTTCAGAACGTTAGAAGCGTTGCTGGGCTCATGGGGAGAAAATGTTTGGGAGACGGAGAGAAAAAATTGGCATTAGGACACCCCCAGCCCCAAGTGGTTTTCCTCCAGAGGCAAACCCATTGTTTGCAAAAGCTGATAGGCAGAACCCGATTCTTGCAAGAAACATAATTTAATTGCAAGAAACATATCAGGTATCCTACTGCATGGAAAAAAGTCATCACTGCTTTTTGTTTCTTTTATTATAATTTCTTTTTCCCTCTTCCCTCCTTCTGTCTCTTTCATCCTCTTTCCTTTCCCTTTTTTCTATTGTCTTTCTTTCTATTTGCAGTTTATATTAATAAAAGAAACTTTTAATAAAATATATATCTTTTAAAAAAGGATAGTGTTCTCCTTCTGTTCTTTGATTTGTCTTGTTCAAGAGAGAGAGAGAGAACTTGCCCAAAGTTCCAGCTGTGCAGCTAATAAAACTCATACATCTTCATGAAAGCTGCAATTTTTTGGCACAACAGTGACTCCCAGAGGAAGTGTGTAAAAACACTTTTTCCGGGACATTCCAGCCAGATTTCTGCAGCAGACCGAGAAGCATCCTTGAGCTGAGTCCCGGTTTTGCTTTCTCGGAGATGGAAATTCCCCGTGGCTTGCTATAAATGATTGCATTCTTTTTTGCGCTGTTGCAAATCCCACAGTGCTTAGCAGGGGTGTCTGCGCGCAATGAATAATGCCTGTAGAAAGATAATTGCTCTGCCTTCCCAAGTTCAGGGCTAAGCTTTGTGTAGCCAAAATGACACCCTCCGAATCGATCCTTTGAAAAATCCAGAGAGAACTCCGAAGTCATAAAACTCAGGGAAAGGAGGCTGCGGGAATTGCAATAAAGCTAAACAAAAGAGGGAGTTTGCAACGGGATCTCTTTTTAAATTAAAAGCGAAAATTGAAGCTTGCGTCTTCTTCCTTCGGATGGTTCTTGCCACCCCATCAAAAGTACGGGCAGTCCTGGACTTATGATCACAATTAGGAAGAGAACTTCCATTGCTAAGCAGTGTGACTATTAAGTGAGCCACACCCAATTTTACGATGTTTTTTTTGTTATGGTCATTAAGTGAATCCAGCTTCCCCCATTGACTTTGTTTGTTGGAAGCCCCCAAAGAAGGTCCCAAAGGATGGTCACGTGACCCTGGGATGTTGCAAACGCCATAAATGGGAGCCGGTTTGCCAAGCGCCTGGACGCTACTACATGAACGCAGGGATGCTGCGATGGTTGTACGTGTGAGGACTTCTCAGTGTCACGGTAACTTTGAACGGTCGCTAAAAAAATGTAAGTCAAGGACTATCTTCTGAAGACAACTTCTGAAGGCTTGTCTTCAGAAACTGCTCCATCCCTGGAGATTTTAAAGAAGAGACTGGACAACCGTTTTCCTGAAATGGTACAGGGTCTCCTGCTTGAGCAGAGGGTTGGACTAGAAGACCTCCGAGGTCCCTCACAGCTCTATTCTGATTGATTGATTTTCCCCATCTTGGTTTGGGATTTTTCTCCTTCAGCGAAAAATCTTCCGAATCCAGTCCGGGGAAAGATGAAGCCTAAAGATTCGCAGTTGTCCGAACCACTTTCTTTACAAAACCATGTTCCCATTCCCATATGATTTTATTGCACTAATCTAATCTTTGTCCTTCCTTCTTAGCAAGATTAGATTTTATGATCCAATAAATTATTGAAATTTCTATGGCATGGAAAGCTCTAAAGATCAGAGTTCAGTCATGCTAATCACTTCTAGCCAATGAAGTCAGTTCTGGGGTTGTGCTTTTCTTCAACAAATGTTCCAAGTTTGCTTTAAATCAAGGAAACCTTCAAGTTTCTAAGGCTCATGGTGAGGGAAACCTCCTAGTCAGATGTCCATCTTGTGAACGGAAGGTTTATAATGACGCAACTCCAACATGTATGTGTCAGTTTTTCCATCACCCATGTGGTCTCGTCTCTTCTGCTTCTTTGTAGGTTAGGCTTGTCCACAGGAGATGTTTTTTGAAATAATTGAAAAACAAATCTGGAGAAGTAGATTAAGCAGTGCAGGGTTGGTCCAGAGAGGAAAAATGAGATGACATTTCAACAGCCAAAACAACAAATGAGGAAGGTCATAAAGGAGAAAGAGGCGGGACTGATTTGGCTGATTGCCCCATTGCCAGTAACTTTTCCAAAGTCCTGGTGATATCCTGTTGTTGGCTGCTGAAGATTGAACTGCCCAGGATCGATATTTTAATGTCCTCCTTGAGACATGAGCCAGAAACTGATGGGAAGGGGGCTTGATTCTGCAACCTGGGAGCAAAGCTCTCCTTGATGACTCCTTTTTCAGGTAGGTTGGTGGTTGATCTTCAGAGCATCGTGTGTCAACTGACTTGGAAAAAAGCTTAATTCCTGCAAAGCAGGGTGGATTTCAGTTGTGTAAATGGGTTAATCTCCCCTGATCTGGAACTTCCTGGAGGTCCACCCAGGCCTGTGGAGGGCGTTTCAGCTGTGGGGAGAGTGAGATCTTGAATATTGTCCAGGATGGGAGAGATTAGATCAGGGTTTCTGTTTTCGTCTTCTTCCTCCAGGACATATTTGAGAAGATTCCCTTCTGCCTTTCAGACCAGATCTAGAGGATGAACGGTCAAAAGTATGATGTTGCTGGATCCAAGATCTTCGGTAGCCTGCTCTTTGCTCTGGCCACCTTGTTCCTTGTCTCAGGTATGAGTTTTCCCAACCAATCAGGATGTGCTGCTTCTTCGTAGGTCAGGATCTTTTCTTCCAAAGCTTTATGATTTTTGAAAATTCCCCCTTTAGTGGCACATAAACTCAACCACAGTATCAAATGGATCGACGTTCCTTCCTCAGATCTTCTTCTTCTTCTGTCCTAAACAGAATCCGTGTCTTTGAAAGGGAAGCAGGTGACTTTCAAGGGGATGACAAACAAATATGTTTCCTTGGCCAATTGGCATGTCCCTCAACTTTGTGCCTTTACTGTATGTGTTGACCTCAACAAGACTGAAAAAAGTGTGCCGAGTGGGGCAGCCTTTTCCTACGATGTCAACAGTTCCTCCACCAACATTAATGAGGTGGAGCTGGCTCTGTCTTTCAATAATTCCACCTTGCAGATGTACTTCATGGGCAGCTTCCTCGATCTGGGACAGTACGTTGTGGCTTACAGAATGCACCAAATCTGCTGTGTCTGGGACAGCCAGAAGCATCTCCTGCAGCTCTTCTGGGATGCAAAGAAGCTGGTAAACAAAACCCTTCCAGATTTCCACCATCGCTGTCTACGGCCCAACGGGACATTAGTGATGGGGCATTTGCACAAGAACTTCAACGGAGTACTAGTCCAGCAATTGTCCTTCGTTGGCGTCTTGCACTACTTCCAGATGTGGGATCATGTGAGAGGCCAGCAAGACATGGAGCATTGTGAAGATGGAAATGTGGTCAGCTGGGGGCAGAATTATTGGTCTCTGCAAGATATATTGACAGAGTCTGCCCACCATCAGCGTTGCGGTGAGTATCCATAACCTCTTCAAATAAATCTCCTCCATCTTCAGTCATTCAGTTTATATACAGTGTATGGTTTTTGAAAAAAGATGGGTCTACATTGAAGCCCCCAAACAGTACATCCGGTTATGATTTTATATACAAAATACAAAAAAATGTAGTTCATAATTGGTGGGTTTAAATGTAGACCCATCTTTTCCAAAATTCATTATTTTATCGACAAGAAACCATAGTTTCTTGATCCTAGCCTATTTGAATCAAAATTTGTCATACTTGTATCTGGATTATTCACTTTTATTTTATTTTATTGGACAAGCAAAGAAAACAGAGCAGGTTGAAGGCTTACCTGCAAGTCCTAGATCTTGTTCACTCATTACAGTAAGGTACAGTGTGTTTAACTATGGTTCCTGAACAAATTACCACTGGCTCAGTTCAGGAATATTATGGCTTAGCATATTATGGGGAGCAAATCTGGACTCTTTCACAAACCATGTTTAAACCAGATCTTAGCATTTCTGTGTAAATGGAGATATAGAATGCTGCTTCCTTTTTCAGGGCATTCCTGTCCCAGTTCTTGCTCTGCTCTTCTTTTCTGTTTTATAATTTTGAACTTTTGGAATCCCTGATGGGAATCTTAAGCTTTAAATTTTTATTTATGAGCTGCCTGTCAAATCTTGGCTGACGTATATGAGAACCTCCACACAGGGTATAAATGACTTTCCTTCCTCCTTTTGAATAAGCAACAATTTACGGACAAAGTCTGGCATTTGGAGCAGATAAGACAGTCACAGGTCTGACCACCAGCAGTCATGACGTCTATGAGGTGGGCACCGTATAAATTGAACAGATAAATCCGTGTTTCTCAATGTTGGCAAACTTGAAGACCCGTGGACTTCAACTCCAAGAAGTCCCCAGCCAGAAGGGGAAAATATAAAGACATAAAATCAGTGGGAAAATTCAGGAAAAATCAAAAGAAAGTAACCCCATTTCCCTATTTGTGAGGGGGAAAAAAACAATAAATGGAAGATTCAATTATGCAGCGTTTCTCCTAAGGCGATTGTTGCAAATCATGGTTCTTGTTCACGATCCCATGAGCTCCCTGAGTTTTTCTTCCCAACCTCAAAATTCCTAGTCACGTATGTCCCTTTTCATACCTGCCTTTTTCCTTTTTCTTCTACAGGTGCAGAGGAGCCTACATCTGCCCTTCCAACAATCACCTCCCCCGATCCAAACGTTACAGGTATGGAACTCCCAGATGCTTAATGTCTATGGAGATTCTCCATCCTCCAGGTCATGGTGGTGCTTTTCCAAAAGGCAACTGGACTTTCTTCGTTTTTTTCCCTTGAAAACATTTGGCTTCTCATCCGAGAAGCTTCTTCAGTTAAAGAAATAAACCAAAGAACTTGAAGAACTTCGGCTGAAGAAGCTTCTCGGTTGAGAAGTGAAACATTTTCAAGGAAAAAAACCCCAAAAAGTCTAGTTGCCTTTTGGGAGAAAAAAGCACCTTTGGGACATCCAGAATGCTTAAGAGTGGTTTTTTCCCCTCTAAACATTGACCTGATGGCTTCTACAAAGTGGTGATAAAACCTTGGAGAATGTCAGAATGAGTCTGTACGTCAGATATTGCTACCTTCCATAGGTGTGGAAGATTTGACAGGATCGTGCCACAGTGAGTCGCTTGGTGTTTGTTTCATTCCTGGGCTCCCAGCAAAAAAAGCAAACCCTAGATGGAAATCTTCTTACAAAACAACGTTATGAATTTGATTTACAAGGCAGCCCTGCTCAAATTCAATACTCTGCACGGCTATCAATAATTACAAGCAACATAAGACAACCATACATTTTTAGCCGTGAAAAAGTATATTTTTAATACCTTAAAATGTATTAAAAAATAATTCTGTTCTGCACGCATTTCCAAAATAGGTACGGTAACAAAAACTACCCTGTTCAAAACCCCCATAGATTTATAAAGGTGCGTCATCATAGATCACGCATTAAAAGTACAGAAAGCTTCATGAATCAAAGTCAAAGGCCAACACAATTGAAAGTAAGCTTGAAGGTAAGCTGGCTTCCCCATCTCTCCCCCCTTTCAGTGATCACGGACACCTTCTACAGCTTCCAGATGAACTTTTCCGTGACTTGGGAGCCCCACAGGGAGTGCGATCGCTATGATGCCAAAAAGCTTTCTGCAACTTGGGTAAGTCTGAATTAGGATCCGTTTAAAGCTGGCTTGTTTAATGGGCAGGGCGGAAGGGTGTTGGTCAGCGAGAGATATTTCATTGCCTGGCAGAAGCAGAGATGCTCATCCTGGACCATGCCTGGAAAAAGAATGGAAGTGGCAGACAGTTTGCCAGACATAAACGCAGGCACAACCCTTTTGGTAGAAAGGTCTATAATTAGTTCACCGGGGGGGGGAGAGGGGGGAGACTAGGTCCAGACGGTTCACTGTTAAGCAGACAATGGAAAATGTTCTTCAAGTGACACGGCAACGAAGCATCTTCTTTTAGGTTGAGAGAGAGCCTCCGTTCTGTCTTATTACAGATTAGCATTTGGGGAAAGTCTTGGAGACCGAAGAAACACTTGCTAGAAAATTATCGTGGGCAACTTGCCGTTTAGTTTGTAGCTAGCCTGCTCCCCAGTCAGTCCCGAGATTCGAACCAGAGTAGGCACCCAGCAGCCCATTCAGTTAGAGAAAGTATAGCTTGGTTTCTATTTATTAAACATCTGCAGACATTTCTCTTCATACCAACAATCTTCTTCACCCATATATCTATGTATCTATGTTTCTCTCTCTCACTGCACATCTGTGTAGATGTTTAGCGTGGACCATCCCACAGGGAATAGCTGCTGGTTATTCCAGCTTTAACCCTTTCATGTAGATGACATCACCTGAATAGAGAAGGAAAGTAGGACACCGGGTGATTCCCTCCTGTCTTCTGCGCAATTTGCTGGACAGAGATAATGCAGTATTGTCCTAAAATAGTATTTCTCTACTTCAGCCACTTGAAGATGTAGGGACTTCAACTCCCAGAATTCCCCAGCCAGTGTTCTGAATTCTGGGAGTTGAAGTCCAGACATCTCCGAGCGGCAGAGGTTGGGGAACTTTATCCTAAAGAAGCACTTATTCTGGCATAAACATTTGATGACCATTTTTGAAAATGACTGCTGCTCTTAGACAAATACTGGATAAGGTTGAGTCAGGAACCCAATTGTGATTGACCGTTTGTCTCTATTACAGTTCAAGAAACAATTAAATAATTCAGAATTTGTGGTGACAAACCATAACGTCAAGACAGCTCGGTAAGCATATTTTTTGGCTCTCCCCCCCCCCCAAAAAAAAACAGGGAGCAAGGATCTGCGAAATCAGAAGGATTTTCCAGTCTAGGTTGGAAAAGAATACAAGACAAAGCTCCCATCCAACCATCGTGAGAAGCGCTAGCAGCAGGAAATGTGCCCATTTTAACGTCAAATACAGTAAATATCAATAAATACAATCCATACCAACTATCCTCTGGGGTCCTCCGTCATTTCTAAAAAGGGGAAGTGCTCTTACGAGAAAAACATTTACAAAACATGGCAGTAGACCATGACTTATCAGGGCTAAAGGCATATTTAGATTGAATTATGTGACTAAGAACATTTGGGGACCTCTTTCCATCCAAATTCAGGACCTGGAACCCAACCCACTAAATCTCTCACTACAGCACCTTCCTCTTCCCTGCCTGACTGATATTTCTTTTAAACCCACCCACAATGATCTTGAAATATCTTTCTTTCAACACAGCCACAAATTATCACAAGGAACCAGGCAGGTTAACACTGAGGTATGTATTTAGAAATCCTAAACCACCTCTTTCCCCATCAAGCTCTGATTTTTTTTTTTCCTCCCTTCTTTCAGACTCTGATGCGTTCTTTCATCCTTCCTCCTCTTCCTTTCCTGTATCTTCTCTAGTGAGAAATTGCCATGGTAGCAGCAAAGATTGTGCCTTAGTAACTGGAGGGAGGCGGCGGATGCTCTGCTTATTTGGCACAGTAAACGAGGAGAAACAACGCTGACATCTAATCGCATCTTGGCCACCCTTTTTATCCCTAGAAGGCTTGAAATGAAACCTTGCAAGGCAGGGAATCTTGGCTTGCCCTCCTCCCATCAATTGCCAGCTATTATTCAGGGGTCACTGAGCATACATATTTTTACCTGGGCTAATTTTAGTCCTGGCCTTCCTTGCGATTCATGGTTTGGAAAAATGTTATATGCTTCTGCAAAGGTGGAAGTTTCTTGCAAATGGCTCAAAGCTCCTTGCCATTTCTCCCTGGGTGGAGAAAAGTTTTTGGATTACAGAGATTATATTCACAACTGATCTCTAGGAGGCACTATTTGACTGGTTTCTTTCTTCTATCTTGGGGCTTATCAGTTGTAGGCAGCTTCTATTGCCAGCTCCAGCAAGAATGAAATGGGTTGTGTAGTGTCTTCTAGGGACCAGTAGTAAATACAACCATGGTAACACAAAGACCCAAGCAAATCAAGCCCTATAGCTTTCCATTCTGAGCCTCCCAGTGAACAAGAAAGGAAGAGGTACCACCGAGAGCATCACTGCATTTTCTGTCTACAATAAGACTGATTTATTGACCTCAAAGGCCACTCATTCCTTGCTATACCTACTGCTAGCAACTGAATCTTGCTGGCTGCCGATGAAACTCGTTAGCATGGCTTTCCATCTTGGAAATGCCAAACTGTTGCTCTTCTTTTGCTGCAGAATATCAGCCCCTTTTCCTTGTAGGCAGATTGATTTTTTTTTTAAAAAAAATATCCTGTTTCTCTCCCCTCCCTCCCTTCTTATCACTTATTCTCCAAGCAATCTGCAAATCCACTGAATTGTTTTGGAATGTCTCCGTGGTAATCAAAGCCTAAATGCCGAGGGTAATCTGAGCGAAGGGAGGAAGGTTGGCAGCCTTGCCGTTTGGAGAAAAGTGGCACCTTTACACCTCCGCCTGGAGCATCACGAGTCTTGCTAATTAGCCACTTTTCTCCCTTCTAAGCTTCTCCTTCTTGATCCACCCGCAGGCAGTAATTGCCCACCTAATGCTGTAAACATGCTAGTTAACTCTTGTTGTTTCTTTTATTCTGCATTGGGGATCTTCTGAACGGAAGAATGGAAGACTGTCTTCCCGGAGGTAAGGGGTGCGATTCAAAACTTGCCAACATTTTCACATCATTGTTCAGGGAGTGCCTGGTTTTTAGACCACCCTGAACTTGTCTGCCTGTTGCAGAGGATTGTGGGACATTCTACCCTAGATTTCAGCTCCCAGAATTCCCTGCCAGTAGCTGATACTCCCTGAATCTAGAATTATTGCCAAGGGAAGCATAAGAGTGATAGACAATCTCTCTCCCAAATCTGTCACCCTTATTTAGGTGCTTTTTTAAAAAAAAAATTGAAGTCACCCCAATTCAACTCAAGGGTCCTGGGTTCTGAAGCTTTAGGCAGCTGGTGTCCACCCAGGGTGACTGGCAGCCCTCCTGTGGCCGAAATTCTGGAACTGGAAACCATGATCATCAGACATGCCCCTTGAGAAGCAGCACCTTGGTTTTATTTGACTTCTTGGCTAGGTGGGCCCAGCACCTTCTGTGGAGAAGAGGAGGGAGCTGGTTCAGCTCATTGACATGGTTTAAGTCTTGGCATCTGGTATCCAAGACCCACAGATTGAATCCTCCATGAGTGTGTCTCTCCTTGTGTCTCCAGATATTCCTCAAAGGCCATCATCAAGGCCAGGTCCAGTCAAAGCATGCAGGAGATCGTGTGGAAGCTACAAAACACCTTGTGTGGGGATTACACTGAAGATCAATTGTCCATGAGTGTGAAGCGAAAGGATACACATGTTATTTCTTTTGGTAATATAGTCATTGGATTTTTTTTTATCCTAATGGTCTTCCAACTGAATAGTCCCTCTTCTTTCCATACAATAACCCTGAGATAGTAAAATGAGAGCATCTCTCATCAAAGTGGCCTAACAAACTTTGGGCTTAGATGAAGACTTCAGACTAAATTGTCCTGGTTTTACTCTGAGGGTAAAGACTGCTCACCCTCCAGTGGTAACCTACTCCTCTCATTCACAACTTTTAGGGTCAATACTGAAATGATTGAGGAGAAAAAGGTTAGGTGATCTTCCATTCTTATCTTCTTGTCTCAAAGATCCAGAATCATGTTCTGAACAGACCGTCTGGTCCAACTACAAAGGTATCTACACCTGGCCAAAGATGGTTCCTCCCAATGTGATGACCTTGCCCTGCGAGGCCAACCGAGAGTTAGCAGCTTCCAGACTGTGGTGAGTAGAGGAATGCACCAACTTCCATTCTTTGACCACCCACCCCACCCCGACATCATACCTCATATGATGCTCGGTGGACCTTGTTTTCCAAAGGACAATTAGGGTGGACAAACTCCAACCAGGAAAAGATCTCCATGGCCATCATATTTCATCCAGAAGATGACTGTCCAAGTTGTGGACCTCAGGTAGTCCTTGACTTACAAGCATAATTGGAACCAGATTTCCATTTACTGACCAAGGTGGTTGTTAAGCAGTTCAGCCAAGCGAAAACCCACCTGAAAGAAAACCAAAGGACAAGCAAGCAAGCGTGACGAAAGAATATCTCCTACACTTCTAATGTCTCTGATGTCTCCCTTTTGTTTCAAAGCTTGATTAACCTTCAGACTGAAAAAGCCTATTGGAAGAGGCCGAACTTGGCTGCTTGTCCTCTGTTGCAAAATTTGCCAGATAATATACTGGATCTTAAAAATGTCACCGTCACAGTCGGTAAGTTCCTGGGTGTGTTTGTTTTTATGCCGAAGGATGCTAAAACCAATCCTGATTTATCTACTTTTCTTCTCTAGCTACACCTGATGAGGTCCTACTTCCCTCCCATTTCTTGGAAGGCCTTCTTTGTTGGGAGGGAGGTGGGATAAAAGGGCGATAGTGTGCAGTAGACTCAGAGAAATTGTATGTGTGTGCATGTCCTGCACGGGGAAATGCAGTCTCCCTGAAAGAGAAACCTATAATCTTTCCCTGAGCTGTTAGCTTTCTCATGAATGAAGGTGAATAGACGTGTCCCAGGATAATGTTGCAGGATCTGAGCTGGGTCGGTCACTGGGACCAGAGGTTTCATCTTCCAAGTTTTGGGACTCGTGCTGAAGCCCATCTTCAAGGAACGTCTCTCTAGCAAATTGTGTGGTCCGAAAGCTCGGAAGACTAAACCTCTGGTCCCGGTGACTGACCCAGATTGGCTCCTTCTGGCTTTCTGCTTGCAAAGAGGTCAACCGTTCAAAACCCAGAAGTCTTGTGAGATGCACGTCAGCTTCTGGCCACGGCTTAGATCTTTATCAAAAGGAGCTTCTGTCTTTGCTCTGTTGCAGAAAATGCGGAAGAGGTAGCAGATCACATTTTATTTCTCTTGAGTTTTTCCGATCTGAATAAAGATGAAATTGAGGTCCTGGTGAACAAATTGAGCGATATAGCCAACTGTGAAGAAATCAGCCTGGCCCTGGCTAGGAAGATACTGCAAATTATCAATATCTTTATGGAAGATAAAATCCAACTGCAGGACATGCAAACTGTACTCAACAGGTATGAAAAAAAAACCATGGTCACCTATTAATCAGACGGTCATTTCTGAGTTGAGGATCCAGAATTCATAATACAGAATACCAGAACTGGAAGAGACCTTGGAGGTCTTCTAGTCTAACTCCCTGCTCAAGCAGGAGACCCTCTATCAGTTCAGTCAAATGGCTGTCCAGTCTCTTCTTAAAAACCTCCATTGATGGAGCGCTCACAGCTTCTGTAGGGAAGCCGTTCTACCGATTGATTGTTCTCACTGTCAGGAAATTTCTCTTAGTTCTACGTTCTTGGTTCCAGATTGAGATGCTTGTGTGAAACAGTCTGGGACTGGAACATTACTGTAATGTGGAATTAGAGTCCATGGTTTTTCACAGTCATTGGAGGACAAGACAAAAAAAAAATTGACCTCCTTTCTATAGTTTTAAAAACATGGGAATCCAAAAAGGGATGAACAGCCTGCTTAGAACATGTGGTAAGTTTGCCAAAGAAAAAGTGTTAGACTTTGTCGTGATTCTCCTAGAAATATTCACCTCCCACTAAATTTCCAACTGCCCAGAACCCAAAATCTGCAGTTTTTCGGTAATGAACAGACACCTTTTGCAAGAAAGTAGAATTCTAGGATTTCAAAGAAAAAGAGGGGCCAATTTTTGCTTCTCCTTATTCAGACCTTTAGCAACGTTTCACTCCCAGGCCTGCCTTTGCACACCCAGAAGTGTGCAGAATATATTCCTGCCCAAGCAGCAAAGGAGAAATGCTTTTTATAAGGACTACAAGCTAACATGAAACATCTGACGATGATGGACGGATCCCGTCTCTGGCAAATGTTTTTGTTCTCCACAGTAGCACTTGTTAGTGTGATTGTGGGTAGCAGATGTGCTGTGAAAAGTGGGAATTCAGAATTTATGATACAATCACGTTAGCAGGAACAGAGCTTGCCGTATCTTGAATGTTGACACCCCCTGCACACTTCCTCACCCGGCCATGTTCTCTCCACCTTTCCAGTTCCAAATGAGAACACAGCGATGTGCCACTACTGAATACATTACCCATTAGATGATGGTGGTGGTGGTGATGTTATCCACTTAATCATGTCCCACTCTTGGCGATTCTATGGACCTGGTCTCTCCACATCTTTCGATCCTGCACTACTTCTTTCAGTTTTTCTATGTGCTGGTTGATGTCAGCTTTGCTGGTGCCCAATCATCGTGTTCTTTGTTGGCCCGGTTTCCTTTTACCGCTCCCTCTTCCAAACATATCCCAAAGGGGCTTTTTCTAAAGGCAACTGCACTTTCTTTGTTTTTGCTTGTTTTCTGAGCTCTTGTGTACTTTCTCCAGAATCTTAACGATCATGGAACAAATTGGTTTCAAGATGAACTTCAGTGGGAGAAATGAATCCATCATCTTGCCTAGGCTGGCTTTGGCGGTGCTACGGCCAGATCCCATGAACTTCCAGGGAGTTGCTTTTGGGATTGTATCCTACACTCTGGAGACCAGCCCACAGGTGGGCCACCTTTTAACACTGGGTTTCTCCCCACCTCTTTATTACCTGTTTCTGCCAGATATTTCCTGAATTAATTTGAAATCAACTCTAGATCTTTTCCCATACAGCTCAGCATCCAATCAACACCCTTCATGGATGTTCAGGCCTCAATATATTTGCCAGGATTGTTGAGAAATTACCTAACATCCCAATCTTTGGATGGAGACAGTTTTACTGGGATTCAATTCACCTTTTTTGGTGCCCCGTCATTGTTTGTGGTAAGTAGGCTGGATTTGCAAGAGTAGAAGGAAACCTAGCAATGGATGCCAAGAAAGAAGAAACAGCTGAACCCCCAGATTTAACTTGTGTGCCCCTCATTCTAGTGGAAAGTGGTTGGAAATGGCCCTGAGAGATGAGTAGGACAGAGAGAGGAGGGGAAAAAAATCTGTGTTTCTTTTTCAGGACAATAGTTTGAAGAACGAAGTTCTGAACACCTACGTTGTAGGTGCCAGCATTGAAAACAAGACAATTGAAGACCTCAAGAAACCAGTCAGCATAGTTCTGCAGCACAGAAACCCACATGGGGTAGAGTACCACATTGTTGCCAAAGGCACCTGTGTTATTTTCACAACATTGAGGTGCATTACTTAGCTGGAGTCATCAAGGATGGCTGGTTTGAGAAGACTGTGGACCAAGAGAAGCCTACAGACTTGTGGAGAGCCTTCATTTAATCAAAGAAAGAGGCTATATTGGAGATCCTAGACCTTGGTGGAGTTAGAAGAACAGAAATATGGAAAGACACAGCTCCCTTGGCATTGTTATTGATTGACTGAGCTAAATTTTCACTCTCCCTGTCATCCCATCAATGAACAGGCTGCACTAAAGAGAAATAACATTTCAGATATAGACAAGATAATTTTTTAATTACAATTCTAGACCAAAATAGCAGATAAAGTAAACAATCATCCAGTCATTACTTAAGTCAACATTGCAATGAGTCAGATGGCGCATAAACTGTATTTAGCCATCTCACCTCATACATGCAGATATTATCATTTTTACCAAAATTTTGAATATCAGCAATGGGCAAATCCAACAATATTTCCAGGGCATTGAGTTGCCCATCTAGAGAACTGGGAAATTGGAGAAAATCCTGCTCATTTCTACTAGTGGTAACACAAGGAGAGCGCTTGACTTGAGGGAAGAGAAGGTGTATCAAAGGTTATGACTGGTACAGCATATGTGGGAGTTATCTCCTACCTAGGATTTCCTTTGCTTAAGCCATTTTCTTTCTCTTTTTTTTACTACTAGGATAATGCTATTGTGCACTGCGTCTTTTGGGACTTCAATAGGAATGGTGAGTACTGAGGAATCCAAAGATGTAAGTCTGAGAGATGGTGAGCAACATCTTCATGTTCTCAACAAGCCAGCATGAATCTCTTCAGTGCAGCCTTGAAGTCAGGCAGCAGCTATAAAGAGCAGCCAGGAGCTATTAACCATGGGTGAAATATTTCATTTCTCTGCTGTGCAGATGGCCTGGGTGGCTGGAATACCTCAGGGTGTGAAATGAAGCATACAGATAGTACCTATACAATCTGTAATTGTAATCACCTGACCCATTTTGGAGTTCTGCTGGTAAGTTGATTTCAATCTTTGCCCCAGTTACAGTGGGAAAAAACAGAGTGCATATATATCAGGAATGCCCAATGTTGGCAACTTTAGGACCGCTGGACTTCAACTCCCAGCATTCTCCAGCCAGCCATCTGGATGGCACCAGATAGGGACAATTGTATGGACTCTCTCATATTTTTTTTTTAGGACTTATCTCGGACACCCCTCAGCGATGCTGATGAGTGGGCTTTAGCACTGGTGACCTACGTGGGGTGTGGCATTTCCTCCATTTTCCTGGGCCTGGTACTGTTGGTTTATCTCTCGATTGAGTGAGTCGAGTTGGCTGTCTGTTTTTCTTTCTGAACTCAACAAAATTTATTTAGGTTTTGTTTCAATCCCCAATTCTATCTTTCTTTATCAAAGTTCCTGCAAATCTGGTAGGGTCAAGCTACATATTACATTAATTGTCTGTAGACGATTAGATAGATCTAGATCTGGATAGATGATTGGAGGGATGGGGAGAAGATGATAGATGAGAGAAAGAGAGAGGATAGATAGATAGATAGATAGATAGATAGATAGATAGATAGATAGATAGATAGATAGATAGATAGATAGATAGATAGATAGATAGAGAGTAGCATGAATCAAAGGAAATCAAATAACGATATCTGTATGACAGTGTAGGAAGTTAATGTCTTTCCCCCTTTTCATTCCAGCAAACTCCGGGAGGACTATCCTTCCAAAATCCTCGTCAACCTCTGCTTTGCTTTGTTGATGCTCAACCTTGCTTTCTTGGTGAACTCTTGGCTAGCCACATTTCAGAATGCTGGCCTTTGCATCACCATTGCCGTGGCCTTGCATTACTCCCTGCTATCTGCCTTTACCTGGATGGGTCTGGAAGCCATCAACATGTATTTTGCCCTGGTGAGAGTCTTCAAAGTCTACATTCCATATTACATGCTCAGGGTTTCCATAGCTGGCTGGGGTAAGTGTCAGAGATATGCAGCTTTTATTGTTTATATGAACGTTTTCAGTTTGTAAACATCATGCCCGTTTCAGAATTTTGCAATGTGGTTTACATTTTTAAGAGATGTGTGCCGTTGGTAGCTTTCAGCGTGGGCACACAGGAAAGGACACCTCCAAATAAGTTCTCAATGGCACCACCAGAGGGAGATGCAACCTATCTTTGGGTACCAAGGTCCATCTAGCAACCTGAAGGAATGGAGACAAGGCTGCTCGGTGTTTTCTTTTCTTGCAATCCTCCCGTTAGGGCATCTGGTTGGCTAGAATGGACAGGGCCAGAGTTCCTGGGGGGGGGGATTGAATGTTGAGGAGGAGGAGGAGGAGGAGGAGGAGAAGGGGGAGGAGGGGGAGGAGGAGGAGGAAGAGGAGGAGGAAGAGGAAGAGGAAGAAGAAGAAGAAGAAGAAGAAGAAGAAGAAGAAGAGGAAGAGGAAGAGGAAGAGGAAGAGGAAGAAGAAGAAGAAGAAGAAGAAGAAGAAGAAGAAGAAGAAGAAGAAGAAGAAGAAGAAGAAGAAGAAGAAGAAGAAGAAGAAGAAGAAGAAGAAGAAGAAAACTTGTCTCTTAGAAGACCTCTGATTCTACCTACTGTATGTTGTATTCAGTTTAAAACTTGGGTGAATGTCGCCCACAAATGCAGGATGATGCCCTACAGCTGTTATTGTTAAAATGTCCCATTTTAATGTGTCAAAGGAAAAAAATTCAGACTAAAATCATTGAAATTAATTCTTAAGCTTCACAAGGCTGAACTGCTCTTAATTTTTTTTTTTATATGGATGTTAGATATTAAAGCAAATTCTTCCTTTGTTCACCTATTGTTAACACCCTTCCCTGCTAACGGGGGCTTCCCGATTTCATTTCTTTTCTCCAGCTAGGACTTAATTAAACCTCTGCAGGCATTTCTCCTTTTTCGGTTAACGCAGTTTTGTTTTCTTGGGGGTCCTTAGGAATTCCAGCACTTATTGTAATTGTGGCCCTCAGCATCAGCAGAGACTTCTATGGGACTGAATTTGCTTTGAGAAGAAACACTGACAGCCCATCAATGCAGTTGTAAGTCTCTTGTTTTGATTATTTTTACCTGGGAGAACAGCAGGAGAGAAATTAGATGAAAGAGCCCTGTTGCTATAATTGCTACTGTTCCATCTTTAGCCCCTAAATTGTTTGCACACCTACTTCTGCACGTTTGCAGTAGTAAAAATATTGGGCTAGGAGCAGGAAAACTCAGATTCTAGTCTATCATGAAAGCTCACCGAGAGACTTTGGGTCAGTTGTTCAGCCTCAGTCCAACCTATTTCACAGGATTTTTGTTGTGGGGAAAAAATAGGAGGCTGAGGAAGCATCACATACCATGCATGAGTTTGTGAATGGAAGGTGGACATAAATCAAATCAAATCCATCCATCCATCTATCCAAGGTGCTGCATTTTATCTATAAACCTGCCTTCTCCTGCCTGGCATCTTCTAAGAAGGTTGGATCAAAACGTCAACCAGTCAACATGGAGTTGACCAACACATCTTCCTTTGTCTTTCTCCAGTTGCTGGATTCAGGACAACTGGGTTTTTTACATCTCTGTAGTTGGCTATTTCATCCTGGTATTCCTGATCAACATCAGCATGTTTGTTACTGTCCTTTGTCAAATCCGTGTCATGAAAACCAACAATTGCAGGGTTGGGAAGGACCGGAGTAAAGAATTCCTCCTTGACTTGAAGAGAGTGACCAGCTTGACATTTTTGCTGGGTTTGACGTGGGGTTTTGCCTTCTTTGCATGGGGCCCCTTGAAGATTGCCTTCATGTACATCTTTGCCATTTGCAATTCCTTGCAAGGTAAGTCTCATGATAAGGTGCACTGACCATGGGGGAAGGACCATAGCACAAGAGGAGCACATGACCTAGTTGTGGTCCTTGGTAATTCCAACTACAAGGTCCTGGTGCTCCTTCAGTTCTATTGTGAAAAAGTTCCATCTCCCTACAACACACTAGAACGATGGTAGAATAATTCCAAAACATCTTCCAGGTGCCAGGTTGAGGGAAGCCCAAGGAGACAATACTCAGGTCATGAGATGGTGGAGCACCTTTAGATGTAGGAGATTGCATTTCCAGGTGCTTCCATTAAATATTTCCAATTGTAATTAAGGTATGATTTGTGTCTGCTCTTCTTTATCTCCTCTTTCTTCTCTGTCCCACCACCTGATGAGATTTCTCATTGTCTCCTCTAGAAATTATAAATTGGGGAGGGGGGGAATGAGATTCCTATTTTGGAGTCTTCAATTCCTTACAGTATGGTAGAACATTTTGTAATGTCCATTGAGGAACCAGAATACTTCTGGTTTTGTCGATGCTTTGTTAATTTCTGTGGGATACCTGGGTGCTTTCCGCAACTCATCTGCTCCTACACCCTTTCTATAATTTACGAAAACCTTGGTGAGCAGAGTGCATGGAATCCAAGGAAAATTTTATCCACTTTCCTTTCTAGGCTTCTTCATCTTTGTTTTCTACTGCCTCATGAAGGAAAACGTAAGGAAGCAATGCCAGATACACTTCTGTTGTGGGAAATTTCGGCTCAGCAATTTCCGTAAGGCACTCATAGTTTCTTCCTGTTCTGATGTGGTGCTCCCTTCCTCAACTTGATGGGTTCACACAAACTCGCAAGGGTTGGCCTTAACAACGAAACACTTGCAAGCGTGTGATCACTGCCCTGCTCAGGGCAAGATTTGGTTCAGGAGCTATGATAGAACATGCCTTAAATGATTCTGTGGAAGAAAGCAGAATTTCTACATCTTATTCGAGATTTTATATCTGTGTTTCCCTCTATTCTTCCATCTGATTTCAGAGGGGATCAGCTCAGCCACCGTCCTGGGAAATTACCCTTGCATCATTGAGCGGAAACACTCATGTCATTCTTTAAAGTCACTCAAGTCTTGGACCACAGGCTCCATATCCAAAGGCTCTGAAAGTTTACCAGAAGCAAGTCCAGAAGTTGGGGTTAAAACTGGTGAGAAGGAACAATGGATATTTGGGGGAGTAAGGGCTTTGAGTATCCATGCAGCAGAATCCTAAAAGTCCCTTTGACTGTTTCTCTTCTGAGAAGAACCACCTCCCTTAGTTAATAGAAAACAAGCACAATGATGCTATTTTTTTTAGCCAGCAGGAGTTTTTTTACAAGAGGATAAAGCATTCAAAGCATTTCCTATGGAGCCAGAAGTGGAATGGACCACTCTTCCATTGCATTGTGGTCCAAGCCGAAGACCCTTCCAAATGGAAGGAGTAAGCAACAGCAGTAAAGCATAACTAGACCCCATCAAGATTTAAGAGATGCTTTCATACAACATACTAAGCTGAGACAATGTCAACCTTAGAAGATGGTGGTTGACCTCTTATGCAGAGGAAGTCATTTTTATAAATTCCCAGTTCAGCCCAGAATATTTTAATAATCTGATTAGGCATGTTGAGTGAATGCATCTGTTGAGTAAGGCCACATAGATAAGATAGCCACTGTGGGTTGGTAGCACTCAGATGATAGGGGACTGTCAATAAATATTCCACAGAGAACTGATAATCTGCTATGTTTTAGGGACAAATGTATCCAGCAGCTAAAATATATTCCCATCTATTTATATTTTAGATCAGGTTGTTTGTTGCAGAATGAGCCATATGTCCTCAGCTTCTCAGGCAGTCAAGCTTCCTTGTGTAAGAAGAATATCACCAGCAGACGTTGACCTACATCACACAGAGAAAAATAAAGACTTGTCTTAAAGCGGAATCTTACTCTTTCTTGGCTTTTTGAAGCTTATTCTCATAGCTCAAAGCAAATGCTCTCACTCAAAATTCAACAATCAGCCTTCAAATAGTTGAATGGAGGAGATGCTGTTAGTCCCCCTCTCCCATATGTCGGTTGTGGGCAACTGAAGTAGGAAGTCAATTCAAGTTGGAGAATAAGCAGGACAGGAGACCAGTTGGCAGATTTTGGACTGCAAACATTGTGGGTGTATTTGTGTAAGATCAGCTTCAACACAGCGGGGAGCAAGGGATATATTACTGTCTTATCTCTAGACTAGGCTTTTATAAAATACAATAAGCCACAAGGTGATCTGGTTATCTGTGGCATGGTATGTTCTGAGATTCTGGCCCACTGTAGTTTATTTAAGGCTAAGCAAACAGTGATGTAGCACACAATCTTAGAGAGCAAGAACACTCAAGTGCGCTCAGAAATGAACACCAGAAGGTACGGATTTATTTTGTCAAAGAAATGAAAGTCTGCAATAAAAACGAAAAGCCAAGAATAGAAGTGGACAAAACCAAGACTTCAGATGAAGAAATATCAGATGTTGGTCAGAGATTCTAAACTACAATCCCCATTAGGTCTATTCAGCGTGACCAACGACAAGAGATTGTGGAGTTTTAGGTCAGAACCACTCAAAGCAGCAACGGTTTTCTTCTGGTTGACATAAAAAAAAATGTCCGTCTTTACCAAGTGTGCAAACTTCTCCTGCAACAGAGGCTGAGTCTGTTTTTCTCAGCCACTTAACACAGAAGCACCAGAGGCACTTGGAATGATGTCTTTAACATCAGTTAGAAGTGAGTCAACAAAACAGAAACAAGAGAAAGCTTGTTTGTTTACGCCAATCGCAGAATGCCCATTATTCAAGAAAGGAGAATTTTCTCCCATTAGTTCTATTTCTTCTGCCGGATAGCACCTTTGTGCTTTCACTGCACAACTTCAAGATTGTATAATCGTGTCTCCTTCCAACGCAGCATTGTTCAAGTTGTCATTTGGACTGAAGGCCTGTAATTTTATTTGAAGGCGTAAATCACGCCAACCATCTCCTTGCAGAAAGCCATCTAATGCCTCAGAGGGGCTACTGGTGCAGGTAGTAAAAGAAAATATGGAATATTTCCCTGTTATGCAGCTTCAGAGATGGACCGTCATCCAGAATATGCCTGAAAGGGGCATATATTTAATTTTGGGTGCGTGGGTGGGTCTGGAAATTGTTTTGTTTTTTTATGACAAGGATGCACGATCTATTTATGTACCCACTTTGACCAAAGTGAGGAAAAAAGTTCGGTGTTATAACCACTGGGAGAAAAAAGGGTTCTGTTTAAAAGATGTTTTGTACCGAAGATGTCAGCAGCATAACGACTGTATCGATAATGCTTCAGGCTTATTCTGGGATGTGGAGATTTGTGCATTTACACACATAATGTCAACATACACCATCTTTTTTTTCTGCTCTGAAACTCTTCCCTGACAGCTCCAGAAATGGGGGATAATGAAACAAATCAAGAATCGATTCACCTTTTCAAAATGCAAATGCCATTTGCACTCGCTTTTTAATCAGAGTGACTCAAGCCTTCTGAATATTAATATTGACTGGAGGGAGATGGCCCACCTCTCTGGAAACAGATCTGAATGACTAACATATTTTTTGCAAGAGGTCCCACAGCCCGAAGTCACCCACTTTTAAAAGGCGTCTCAAATCCAAACAGATCAGAAACATAATGTGGAATATTCTGATGATTAATGGGGTAGGGTGGGATGGAAATCAGCCTGTCATCGTACTTCATTTATAAAAGCTTGGGATAATTATCCTGTAGCTCAAAAAGAAAAAAATAGCTTTTTAACTACTCTTTTTCTTGGGAGAAGATAGTTTGAGATTGATGATCTTCTTTGGCTTGGAGGATTCTGCCTTGACTAGCAGGACAAATGCTTTTGTGAGCAACAGCGATGATCTTCTTCTAATCTATAGCAATAATCCAGGGATTGACCCTCTAGGAGATGTTGTGGGTGCCCTCACAAAATGGCTGCCATGGTGAGGAGAGACAGGGTATTTTGCTCTCTGTGGTCCCTTTTTATCCTCTAGGATTTAATCTTTCTGGACACAGAGGAAGCCACTGAGCTGAATCCCCTATAATGTCATTATCTTTCAAGGATGTCACCGGGGTACCTGAAGACTCAGAAGCCTTTTTGGTCCACAAAGATGCTCTTAGACAAAAGATGCTGTGTGGCAGGGCAGAAATTTTCAGAGTGTTTCCAATCCATGGGCTGCTCATCCTTTGCTTGAAAAGCTCCAGTGATGGAGCCACCATGACTTTAGAAAGTAAGCAATTCCACTTGGGATTGATGTCCCCTCCCCCCCCCCAAGAAAGATGCTCAGAGTTACTCCCAAGCAAGTTCCTTTATTGTTCCTCACAAAGAGACAGAAATCTTGCCAAACTAAAGCAAACTACTTGCCTCGTTAAAGAGATACTTCAAGGATTTCTAGGAAGAAGCCGTTTTGACTTACTTACTCCCAACCAAATGTCTCTTGATCCTCTGCGATGCAACCACTCGCTCTGGGGAATCCAGACTACATTCCACTACAGTAGATGATTGTCCAATCTCACAGGTAAGTTGGAAGCGTCCTGGAGTTTTGAAAACTCATAAAAGCAAATCGCCCTTCTTTTCTGCTTCTCAAGCCTGTCATCTCTAGTTTGTGACAGACGCTTCATCTTTTTCCACTGTTACATTCTGGTTATTCAGGAGGCAGAATTCTGAACCCTGCCAATTCAGTTTGCAAATAAAATAAAATAAACTGTCAAGAAAAACCTGAATGTAATGGAAAACCTGCTGGCAGAACAGTGAGCCAGGATATATAAAGAAACTCAAAACTGACGCCTCTTTTCATATTTTGCAATCTGAACTGACTTTCTTCTCCATCTCTTCGTCTCCACGTTCACCCACAGTATCTCTGAAGTGTATTCAAAAAAGAAAAAGAGAGAGAGAAAAAAAAAAGGGGGGGGTGGAAAATCTCCAACCATCTTCTCCACCTCCCACACAGTTCAGCAGTGAAATCTATGCATATTTGTCTTTATCATGCTTGGTAACTTCATAGCAAGAAGAAAAGGGTTGAATCTCCTGAGCAGTTGATTTTCTGGTGAATCTGTTGGATCTCTCTTCATCTTTTTCACATGTTCATGGACAGGACATGGCATGGGATGAGTTTTAATGGTTTCCTATCAGTTTAATTCCACCTGGAGCCTTAAAAAATGCGCAGGTCATCATTGCTGGTGAGGAATGCTGATCTCTATGAAGATGTCAACTCAACAGAAGAACCGGCCTCCTTAATGAGCAATCAAACAGGCCAGGAAAGCTGGTCTGGAGATGCCTCCCTTGGTTTGGGGACTCTCTGTACCATTTACGCAGCCTACGCCTCCATCATTTCTATGGGTCTTCTAGGGAATGTTATCCTTGTCAAAGTCTTCTTCAAGATCAAGTCCATGCAGACGGTCCCCAATATTTTCATTACCAGCCTGGCTTTTGGGGATCTGCTCCTTCTCTTGACCTGCGTGCCGGTTGACGCTGCCTGTTACATCGTGGATACGTGGCTGTTTGGACGAATTGGCTGCAAACTCCTGTCTTTTATTCAACGAACCTCCGTGGGGGTATCCGTATTCACCCTCACAGTCCTCAGTGCTGACAGGTAAGTTTTGAGCATTTCACTGTTCATGAAGGCATTGTAAGAAATTAAGCTTCTTAGGCAAGATTGGACCATGCTAGTCCATTGACCCGACCATCAAACAGTCAGATACAGATATTTTCACAGCCCTGCATTCTTTATTCCTATCTGATCACTCCTGATCCCCACACAGTTGACCGCTGGGACATCTTCTGACTAGGAATGGATGCAAATTCTGATGCGTGGGAGAGTGTGCATTTGTGTGAGTGTAGGCTACAGTTTGGAAGATTTGTTTTTCTAGTTGAGCAAAATCACTGCAGTTGAGCATCTCCTTATCTGTTAGGCTGTTTCAGTATTTAAAAGGTTCCTTTTCATTTCCAAGTAACAGAAACTCACCGTGATAGATTCTTTTTTTTCCTAATGGAAGAGAATCGGGAAATTTTGAAGCAAATTCTTTACAATTCACTGCTAACATCTAAAAATAATATCATTTACAGTGCAGCAGAGAAATGAATGAGCCAGAGAAAGAATAATGATATATTTGAAAAACAAAATGCCTAAAAAAAGAGAATCTACGCTGCATCTTGGTGCTACCTAGTGGTGTGGGAAAGCAATTTACAAAAATACAAAATGAAATGTCAGGATGTTTAGAACATCTCTGGGGCCGGTTGCCTAAGATTCATAGAAGTTTTAATTTCCTGGACTGAATCAACTGGCTTTTATTAAACTTGGGCACTTCAGAAGACAAATATATTTGCCCAAGAATAATAAGCAGCATCAAAGGTTTAGCTGTTGAACGTCTGGACCAGGGCAAGATAACACCTACCCAGGGCTTGTAGGGTGG